AGAGCTTTTGAACAGCAAAATAAACTATCAACAGAGTAAACAGACAACCTTCAGAGCAGCAGAAGATATTCACAAACTGTGTATCTAACAAAGGCCTAATATCCTCAGTCTACAGAGAACTTAGACAAATCAACAAGCAAAACCAAAGAACCCTATTTAAAAATGTACACAAAGGACATGAAAAGACTCTTCTCAGAAAGACATACAACAGCCAACAAACATGTGAAAAGATGCTCAGCATCACTAATCTTGGAGAAATGCAAATGAAAATGACAGTGGGATACCATCTCACACGTCAGAATGGCTACATCAAAAAGTCAAAAAACAACAGATGCTGGCGAGGCCGCAGAGAAAAGGGAATTCTTATACACTGTTGGTAGGAATGTAATTATTCTGACTACTGTGGAAAGCAGTCTAAAGATTTTTGAAATAACTGAAAACAGAGCTACCATTAGACCTAGCAGTCCTATTACTGGGTCTGTAGCCAAAGGGAAAATCAGTCTACCAAAAAGACAAGCACTCATGTTAATCACTATGTATTTACAATACAAAGACATGGAATCAACCTAGGTGCCTATTAATGATAAATTGGATAAAGAAAATGTGATATTCCATATATACCATGAAATACTATGTAGCCATCAAAAAGAATGAAATCATATTCTTTGTAGCAACATAGATGCAGTTGGAGGCCATAATCCTAAGCAAATTAATGCAAGAACAGAAAATGAAATACTGCATGCTCTCACTAATAAGTGGGAGCTAAACACTGAGCACACATGGACTTAAACATCGGAACAATAAACCCTGTGGACTACTAGATGGGGGAGGCAAGAAGAGGGGTGCAGATTGAAAAACTACCTATCAGGTACAATGCTCACTGACTGGATGATATGATTTGTACCCCAAACGGCAGCATCACACAGTGTTCCCATGTAACAAACCTGCAAATGTTTATCTAAAATAAAAACTGAAATTTAAAAAAACCCACAAAAAGCCTGATGTGGCAGCTCACACCTGTAATCCCAGCTCTTTGGGAGGCCAAGGTGGATGGATCACTTGAGGCCAGGAGTTTGAGATCAGCCTGGGGCCAACATGGTGAAACCCCACTTCTACTAAAAACACAAACATTAGCCAGATGTGGTGACAAATGCACCTGTAATCCCAGCTATTTGGTAGGCAGAGGCATGAGAATCACTTGAACCCCAGAGGCAGAGGTTGCAGTGAGCCAAGATTACACCACTGGACTCCAGCCTGGGCAACAGAGTGAGACTCTGTCTCAAACAAACAAACAAACAAATGAAAACAAACAAACCCCCAAACAAGAAAACCCACCAGAAACTCTAAAATAACAAAGAGGCAAAGGAACATTCAAGGGGAATGTTAAAAAAAAAGAGAGAGAAAAGTGAAAATGAATGTTGTCCTAAGCTGAGTGGTTTATATTTTTAGTTTTACAGTAGCATCTCTGTATTCTAGTTGAAATCAATTACATTCATTGACATTCCTACTATAATAAATGGAATCTTCTTGTACATTTCTAATAGAATTGAACTCAGAACAAAGGCCAAGTAGCAAATAGTTATGATTAGCCTGGTTTGGTCTACTAAAATGACGGCTACATTTAAAAAATTTAAATTCAATATATAAACATTTGGTTAGGAGATTATGATATATTGCAAACTAAAACATCTAGTTTTAGACATCTAAACTATCTAAAACATCTAGTCAGATGCCAGACCTGTTTTATTAAATTAATAAATATTAATTGAATATTAATATTAAAATTAACAATATTTATTGAATGTGGTATATTGGGAAATGAACGAAGTGTCAAAGCTGAGCTCATTTTCTTTGACTTCTTCCCTTCATTTTCCTGCTTCTATTGTTCTTTTTCTTTTCCTGGAAGCTCATTTTTTACACTTATGAATTCCACTATCCCTGTCCTTTCCTTCTAGATCAGAAAGTTTCTCCCTCAAATGTGGTTGTTGCTCTAGCTTCTCTACTGGTCTCTGTGCTGTTGGACTCAGCGCATCATGGCTGAGAGGCCAGAACAGCACACTGAGGGTGCTTTAAATCAAGATTTGGGGAGTGGTGTGATGGCAAGGTCTAGAGCAAGTGGACAAAGTGTGCAAGAGATTTTTGGAAGCAAGTCCAAATACAGAGAGGCCAAGTTATAAGAAACAAGGCATTCACGGATTCTGAGATCAACAAAAATGTTGAAAGAGTGTTTATAGAGAAAAACATCAATCTGGATATTGTGTTTTTCCCCACACAGGGGAAGCCAAGTGACTGCAAGTTCAGTAGATGACAGCCGCACATATCTGATGTTAAAGCTGTGTCATGGGCTTCAGATGAACAGAGGAGAGAAAGGCACACAATGTCTTGGCAGTGGTAGGTAGGGGCCAAAAATCTTAACTCAGAGGTTCAGGAGTTGCAGGAAAAGATCACTTGAGAAGGCCTCAGGAAGCAGGGTACTTCAGATGTAGCCAAGTTGCAGTTGGTGCAAGAAGACACTGAGGATAAAGAGGAGTTTGCTGATAAATGGCCATGAATTTCACAGGGAACAGTTGAAGGGCTTAGGGGTTTGGGAAAAATACATAAAATGAGGACACAGAGAACACACACATACAGTGTGAGGATGAAAAATGGGGTCAGATGGGTAACCTAGAAGTTGATTATATTAGAAAATATTGGAACACTGGACAATGATTAGCATGTAGCTCAGGTGGTGTGATGGTTTTGGGGTGGATGAGAGCCTCCCCCATGAAGCAGGTTTCCTAGGCAGACAATCTGGCTTGGCGACCCTGAGAGTATGTAATTAAAAGTGATGTGAGGGCCTCAGTGTGGTCTATTCTATGTGTTTCAAAACCATTCTGCCTAGGGCAGTTTACACAGGTCCTTGTTAGAAAATGAGGGGAGAAAAACTGGATTCTTTTTACTCTTATACATATTAGATTTATACACATTAATGCTTCTTAATAAAGCTCCTTGGCTTCACCTGGTGATCAAAAGAATGGCATCTTATATAAAGCAGCACTAGAGGCTGGGCATGGTGGCTCATGCCTGTAATCATAGCACTTTGGGAGACTGAGGCAGGTAGATCACCTGGGGTCAGGAATTTGAGACCAGCCTGGCCAATATGGTGAAACCCCATCTCTACTAAAAATATAAAACATTAGCAGGACGTGGTGGTGCATACCTGTAATCCCAGCTACTCGGGAGGCTGAGGCAGGAGAATCCCTTGAACCTGGGAAGCTAATGTTGCAGCGAGCCAAGATCACACCACTGCACTGCAGCCTGGGAGACAGAATGAGACTCTCAACACACACACACACACACACACACACACACACACACACACACACACACTATAAATCAACTGTGCTGCGCTCCCTATGACTTGGCTAATAAGAAGTTCTGTTTTCCCCATCCTGCTCCACAGATGTTCCTTTTATAGGTCTTGGAGTGTAAAGCTTTTTGTGGTCTGTTGTCAGGCATTCTGCAGCTCGTGGTGGCTGACCTTGCTGCTCCTTGTGCCACTACTGACCTCCTCCAGACCCACTGACCCCTGGTGTTCTCTCTCTGACCAACCACAGAACCCCTTTTGCTTCTGTCTACATAGAACCACAGGGTCCTAAGTGACCTTATAGATGTATAAACTGCAGTAGGAGCTATAAATTCCACTAGTATTCAGGCTGGCTGCTTAGTTCAATCCACACTACTCGTCTTCTCATTGGTGGTATTCTTTGAAGAACCTATGATCACATTTTTATCTTGCCAGATACCCAATTGGGAACTGTGTCCTCATTCTCTTCCATGAGCTTCTAGGCCTTGTGCTAATAAATGCATGTGGCTAGCTGTTTTAGAGTTCCTTAGTAATCAATCAACCAGCTACTGAATAGTCTATGACAGTTGACAGACTGTTTAAATAGTAGTTCTCAAATTTTGACTTGTATCAGAATCATCTGGAGAACCATTAACACAAATTGCTGGATCCTATCCCTAGGATTTCTTATTCTGTGGCCTGGGATGGAGACAGCCTGCCTGACAAGGTTTCAGGTGATCCTAATGCTGCTGGCCCTGGAGTCACACTTTGAGAACTTTTGGACTGGAACATTCTGAAAGTTTCTACAAAATTATATTGCTTAATGCCAAATGTCAGCCCAGTAGAGTTCTATCTATGATTCAGCCGAAATATTCATATATGCTAAATAAAAATGGAATCTATTTTCTTAACTGTAATGTTCTTGAGAGTAGTCACTATTTCTTTTGTCATCTATGTATGCTCTAGAGTAGAAGTCAGAATGAAAAGAGCAAAGACGCCAAGATGAGGGGATATGGATAATATCCCCACATGTCTCATAATCTGCACAAGAATTTGACTGCATCCAGGCAAAAGAGGTTAAATAGTGAATGACTTCAGAGCCTAGATGTTGTGGGAGGGCCTGCCTTTCTCAAAGGGAGTTAACACTCATCTGCCCATTAGTCAATCTCACTTCCGGGTATATGGATCAATCTTACTTCTTTCTTCCTCACGGGTAGATGAGATCAATTGTGTTGAAATGAAGGGTTTGACTACTCGATAATATGAGCAAGAACACATAAAAGCACTTAACTACCCTAGCAGATTGAGGCAAAAATATATATATTTTTAAAAAGATGACAATTTTAGAATGGAGAAGAGAGCTAAGAAAATAACATATTGGGTCTGGGTGCGGTGGCTCACACCTGTAATCCCAGCACTTTGGGAGGCTGAGGCGGGCAGATCACTTGAGGTCAGGTATTTGAGACCAGCCTGGCCAACACAGTAAAACCTTATCAGTACTAAAAATACAAAAATTAGCCAGGTGTGGTGGCACATGCCTGTAATCCCAGCTACTTGGGAGGCTGAGGCAGGAGAATCGTTTGAACTCAGGAGGCAGAGGTTGCAGTGAGCTGAAATTGCACCACTGCACTCCAGCCTGGTCTAGGCGACAAAGTGAGACTCCGTCTCTAAATAAATAAATAAATAAATAAGATAATACATTGGGAATCAGAGTCTGTAGTCACACATTCCAGAAAGGTAAGAGTCTTGGGGATGGAGAGGTAGTCAGTTATAGTGAATAGGTAGCATTCCTAGCTCTTGTCACCTGGAAAAAGGAAAAATTATCATATCACTTTCATGATTCCTAGGATTCTCATATATTAAAGGTTCTGTAATTAGTTATTTAGATGGTTAGTTTTTAAGCCAAGCTCCTCCCTCCGTAACAGTTTTTACTGTTTAAGAATCTGCAATCTCTTCTTGATTCCCTTGCCTGGCAGAGGCTAAGTCCCAGAGAATTGAGTAAAACATTTGCAATCCCTGCCATTGTGTTAGAATTTATTCATTGTTCAGTGAGGATGGGATGGAGGGGAGCAGCCAGAATGGGACTCTGAAGTGAGTTGTAAACAGAGGCCCATGAGGGTGCTCAAGAAGTATGGGAAGGAAGAGAGAAACGGAAGGGAGCAAGTGTGTAGGAGGGGAAAGGTCAGAGCTTTGAAATATAAGACTTTGAACTTGCATTTAGTAAATTTTATAAAACATGGAATTTTTCCCACTGTGGAAATAAAAACTGGTGGCTTATGCTTAGGGGAATGAATAGCGGCATAGAATTGGAGAGTGAGTCACTGACTTATCAGGGAGAGGTCAAACACTTGGTACAAACTTTCTCCAATGCCTTATTCTGTCAAAAAAAATTAAATGAGGGGTTGCTTTCATCCTTGTGTCACTGTATCAGCATCTTTCTTGTAAATGCAGAGTATGGTGCATTGACTTCCATTGATATTCTCTTCCCCTTTAGGAACTCTTGTTCTCTTCTTCTGATTTCCAAGGACACTTGTTTAGTGGTTTTGAGTTTCAGCTATCAAAACTCTAAGTTCAAAAGGCAGAATCAATGTCACTGCATAATAGTTCACCAACATGATTCATTTATTTGTAATGCTTAAAAAAGTTTCCCAGAGAACTTAGCAGAGTTTGAGTTTCTAAAAGTGGTTTCCTGGCATATCTGATACCTTAGTAGGGCTTTTCATCTTAGCTAATCTCTTCCTGAGATTACTTAACAGTCCATTTACTTGGGCAAGGGCTACAACGTCCTGAGTCTCTAACTATGCGTTGAGGGCAAATGTGAATATTGAAGCAGAAGGCTAAAATGTGAGTTTATTACACTTAATGTTGTTCTCTATTATATTTCCTCAGGCTATATATTTAGGAACAAGAAACAAAGTGCAGTAGATGATCCTATGATTACTATATCCACCCCTCAGCAACCTTGGAAAGTATAGATAGTAATTCTGCAATGACATTTGTGCTACAAATTTTTTTTTACCCCATACACTTTTAGTGACTATGCTTGGGGGTCCACTTACATGTCTGTGCACAACATCTTTTAGCCAAGTGACAGATAGGGTGTTTCTACTCAAGGTATGTTATTTCATAAAAGAACTAAGCACCCTTTTATCAAACTTTATGCAAATAAAGCCAAATTAGATTTATTAAGGTGATGAAAGAGAGTAGGGACTTTTTAATGGGTAGCAATGCTGTGCATATCTAAATGCAAGGCAGATGTAATGATGCATTCGAAATGCTGAGAAAATTTAATCAAAGTAGAAAAAATATAATGAAATGGTTATTTAAACACTGTAAAGCTAATGTTAGAGTAATTACTTTCCACTGAGCAGGGTGTGGAGCACATTACCCAGGCTGTTTGATTAGTCATCCTGCCTGCAACATCTGGTCTTTTGATCCATTTGATTTTAATATAATTTCTTAACTTCTGAATTTAAGTTTTAGAATGAAAAAATAAATAAAATAACTTTGATGGGAGACAAAGCTTTGACTCGCTCATGACAGATTAAAACTGTGCCTGCTGCTCACTCACCTTTAGCTCTCTGTCATGAAAGAGAGCTCCAAATGCCAGGATAGTGGACTTTCTTTCTTTCTTCTTCTTCTTCTTATTAATTTTATTTTAAATTCGGTTCTGGGGTACAAGTGCAGGTCATGCAGGGTTGTTGCATAGGTGCATACTGTATCTGGCATTTTTCCCCATGTTATCCCTCCCTACCCTTCCCACCCCCTGCTGTCCCTTTCCCAACTGCCCCCAGTGTGTGATGCTCCTCTCCCTGAGTCCACGTGTTATCATTGTTCAACAGCCACCTATGAGTGAGAACATGCGGTGTTTGGTTTTCTGTTCTTGTGTCAGTTTGCTGAGAATGACGGTCTCCAGATTCATCCAAGTCCCTGCAAAGGACACAAACTCATCATTTTTTATGGCTGCATAGTATTCCATTATGTATATGTGCCACATTTTCTTTGTCCCGTCTATCATTGATGGGCATTTGGATTGGTTCCAGGTCTTTGCTATTGTAAAGAGGGCTGCAATGAACATATGTGTGCATGTGTCTTTATAATAGAATGATTTATAGTTCTTTGGGTATATACCCAGTAATGGGATTGCTGGGTGAAATGAAATTTCTATTTCTAGATCCTTGAGAAATCGCCACACTGTCTTCCACAATGGTTGAATTAATTTACATGCCCACCAACTGTGTAAGACTGTTCCTATTTCTCCACATCCTCTCCAGCATCTGTTGTCTCAAGATTTTTTAATGATTGCCATTCTAACTGCCATGAGATGGTATCTCAATGTGGTTTTGATTTGCATTTTTCTAATGACCGATGATGATGAGCATTTTTTCATATGTTTGTTGGCCTCATATATGTCTTCTTTTGAAAAGTGTCTGTTCATATCCTTCACCCACTTTTGAATGGGTTTGTTTGTTTGTTTTCTTGTATATCTGTTTTAGTTCTTTGTAGATTCTGGATATTAGCCCTTTCTCAGATGGGTAGATTGCAAAAATTGTTTCCCATTCTGTTGGTTGCCATTTTGCTCTAGTGATGGTTTCTTTTGCTGTACAGAAGCTCTGAATTTTAATTAGATCCCCTTTGTCTATCTTGGCTTTTGTTGCCATTGCTTTTAGTGATTTAGCCATGAAGTCTTTGCCTATGCCTATGTCCTGAATGGTTTTGCCTAGGTCTTCTTCTAGGGTTTTTATGGTATTAGGTCTTATGTTTAAGCCTTTAATCCATCTGGAGTTAATTTTAGTGTAAGCTGAAACAAAGGGGTCCAGTTTCTGCTTTCTGCACATGGCTAGTCAGTTTTCCCAACACTATTAAACATGGGGTCCTTTCCCCATTTCTTATTTTTGTCAGGTTTGTCAAAGATCAGATGGTTGTAGATGTGTGGTATTGCTTCTGAGGCCTCTGTTCTGTTCCATTGATCTATGTCTCTGTTTAGGTACCAGAACTATGCAGTTTTGATTACTGTAGCCTTGTAGTATAGTTTGAAGTATGGCAGTGTGATACCTCCGGCCTTGTTCTTTTTGCTTAGGGTTGTGTTGGCTATGCGGGCTCTCTTTTGGTTTCATATGAAGTTTAAGGTGGTTTTTTCCAGTTCTGTGAAGAAGGTCATAGGTAGCTTGATGGGGATAGCATTGAATCTATAAATGACTTTAGGCAGTATGGCCATTTTTGCAATATTGATTCTTCCTAACCATGAGCATGGAATGTTTTTCCATCTGTTTGTGTCCTCTCTTATTTCCTTGAGCAGTGGTTTGTAGTTCTCCTTGAAGGGGTCCTTTACATCCTTTGTAAGTTGTATTCCTAGGTATTTTATTCTCTTTGTAGCAATTGTGAATGGGAATTTTCTCTTGATTTGGTTCTCTGTTCTTTGTTTGGTATATAGGAATGCTTGTGATTTCTGCACATTGATTTTGTATCCTGAGACTTGGCTGAAGTTGCTTATCAGTTTGAGAAGATTTTGGGCTGAGACGATGGGATTTTCTAAATATACAGTCCTGTCATCTGCAATTAGAGACAGTTTGACTTCCTCCTTTCCTAATTGAATACCCTTTATTTCTTTTTCTTGCCTGATTTCTCTGGCTAGAACTTCTAATACTATATTGAATAGGAGTGGTGAGAGAGGGCATCCTTGGCTAGTGCCTGATTTCAAAGGGAATTCTTCCAGCTTTTGTCCATTCAGTATGATATTGGCTGTAGGTTTGTCATATATGGCTTTTATCATTTTGTGATACGTTCTGTCGATACCTAGTTTATTGAGAGTTTTTAGCATGAAGGGATGTTGAATTTTGTCAAAAGCCTACTCTGCATCTATTGAGATAATCATGTGGTTCTTGTCTTTGTTTCCATTTATGTGGTAGATTACATTTGTGGACTTACATATGATGAACCAGACTTGCATCCCCAGAATGAAGCCTACTTGATTGTGATGAATAAGCTTTTTGATGTGCTGTTGCAATCAGTTTGCCAGTATTTTATTGAAGATTTTTGTGCCGATGTTCATTGTGTATATTGGCCTGAAGTTTTCTTTTTTAGTTGAGTCTCTGCCTCGTTTTGGTATCAGGTTGATGTCTTATAAAATGAGTTAGGGATGATTCCCTCTTTTTGTATTGTTTGATATAGTCTCAGGAGGAATGGAACCAGATCCTCTTTGTACATCTGGTAGAATTTGACTGTGAATCCGTCTGGACCTGGACTTTTATTGGTTGGTAGGCTATTGATTGCTGCTTCAACTTCAGCCCTTGTTACTGGTCTATTCAGGGCCTCAACTTCCTCTTGGTTTAGTCTTGGTAGAGTACAAATGTCCAGGAATTTATCCATTTCTTCCTGGTTTGCTGGTTTATGTGCATAGAGCTGTTTGTAGTAAACTCTTACGATAGTTTGTGTTTCTGTGGGATCAGTGGTGATATCCCCTTTATCCTTTTTTATTGCATCTATTTGATTCTTCTCTCTTTTCTTTTTTGTTAGTCTGGCTGGTGGTCTGTTTTGTTAATCTTTTCAAAAAACCAGCTCCTGGATTTATTGATTTTTTGAAGGGTTTTTTATGTCTCTATCTCCTTCAGTTCAGCTCTGATCTTAGTTATTTCTTGTCTTCTGCTAGCTTTTGAATTTTTTTGATCCTCCTCCTCTAGATCTTTCAATTTTGATGATAGGGTGTCAATTTTAGATCATTCTTGTTTCTCATGTGGGCATTTATTGTTATAAATTTCCCTCTTGACACTGCTTTAAATGTGTCCCAGAGATTCTGTTACATTGTGTCTTCATTCTGATTGATTTTGAAGAACGTCTGTATTTCTGCCTTCATTTTTCATCCAGTTGACACTCAGAAGCAAGTTGTTCAGTTTCCAAGTGGTTGTGTGGATTTCAGTGTGTTTCTTAATCCTGAGTTCTAGTCTGATTGCGCTGTGATCTGATAGACTGTTTGCTATTATTTCCGTTCTTTTGCATTTGCTGAGGAATGATTTGCTTCCAATGATGTGGTCAATTTTGGAGGAAGTGTGATGTGGTGCTGAGAAAAATGTATATTCTGTTAATTTGGGGTGGAGCATTCGGTGTATGTCTATTATGTCCACTTGGTCCAGCTCTGCATTCAAGTCCTGGATATCCTTGTTAATTTTCCGTCTCATTGATCTGTCTAATATTGACAGTGGAGTGTTAAAGTCTCCCACTATTATTGTGTGGGAGTCTAAATCTCGTTTTAGGTCTTTAAGAACTTGCTTTATGTATCTGGTTGCTCCCGTGTTGGGTGTGTATATATTTAGGATAGTTTGCTCTTCTTCTTGGATTGATACTTTTACCATTATGTAATGCCCTTCTTTGTCTCTTTTGATCTTTGTTGATTTGAAGTCCGTTTTATCAGAGACTGGAATTGCAACTCCTGCTTGTTTTGTTCTCCATTTGCTTGGTAAATCTTCCATCCCTTTATTTTGAGTCTATGTGTGTCCTTGTATGTGACATGGGCTTCCTGAATACAGCACACTGATGGGTCTTCATTTTTTATTCAGTTTGCCAGTCTGTGTCTTTTGATTGGGGCATTTAGGCCATTTACATTCAATATTAATATTGTTATGTGTGAATTTGATCCTGCCATTTTGTTATTGGTTGGTTTTCTTGCCCATTAGCTGATTCATTTTCTTCATTGCATTTTTGGTCTTTGCCATTTGGTGTGCTTTTGCAGTGGCTGATACTTGTTCCTTTCCGTGCTTAGTGTTTCTTTCAGGAGCTTTCTTTTAGGGCAGATCTGGTGGTGACACAATCTCTCAGTAATTGCTTGTCCATAAAGGATTTTATTTCTCCTTTACTTATGAAGCTTAGTTTGGCTGGATATGAGATTCTGCGTTGAAAGTTCTTTTCTTTAATGATGTTGAATACTGGCCGGCACTCTCTTCTGGCTTGTAGGGTTTCTGCAGAGAGATGCGCTGTTTGCCTGATTGGCTGCCCTCTTTGGGTGACCTGACCTTTCTTTCTGACTGCCCTTAGACTATATTTTTTCCTTCATTTCAACCCTGGTGAATCTGACAATTATGTGCCTTAGGGTTTCTCTTGTTGAGGAATATCTTTGTGGAGTGCTCTGTATTTCTTAGATTTGAATGTTGGACTGCCTTGCTAGGCTAGAGAAGTTCTCTTGGATACTATCCTGAAGTGTGTTTTCCAGCTTGGATTCATTCTCCCCGTCATATTCAGGTACACTGATCAAGCATAGATTAGGTCTTTTCACATAATCCCATATCTCTTGTAGGCTTTGTTAGTTTCTTTTCACTCTTTTTTCTCTTGTCTTGCCTTCTCTTTTTATTTCATTGAGTTGATCTTCAATCTCTGATATCCTTTCTTCTGCTCGATCGACTCAACTATTAAAACTTGTGTTTGCTTCACGTGGTTCTCGTGCTGTTTTTCAACTCCATCAAGTCGTATATGTTTTTCTCTAAGTTGGTTATTCTAGTTAGTATTTCATCTAACCTTTTTTCAACCTTTTTTTGGTTCCGTGCCTTGAGTTAGAACATGTTACTTTAGCTCAGAAAAGTTTGTTATTATCCACCTTCTGAAGCCTGTTTCTGTCAATTCATCACACTCTTTCTTGGTCATGTTGTGTTCCTGTGTTGTTGAGGAGTTGTGATCCCTTGAAAGAGAAGAGATATTCTGGTCTTTGATGTTTCATCTTTTTTGCACAGTTTTTTTCCCATCTTTGTGGATTTTCCTGGCTGTGGTCTCAGGGAGCTGCTTGATGAGGTCACTTATCTGCCTGTTGAGGCACTACTTGGTTTCTATGGACTCCTTCAGGTTGCTGGGTAAGCTTCCTGTGTCTTTTTTGTTTATACTGGGAGTTTAGGTCAGCCTATTCCGCTGACTTGGAGGCACTGCTAGGTGGTCAATTATGCCATCCTGTCCCATTGCTATGTAGGCTTCTGTGTTTTTTGTTGAAACCTGAGTCCTAGTCCCACCTCTTTAGTGGTGGGCTATGTCTTTCCTCCACAGGGCTGGATCATTCAGAGTTCAGCTCAGACTGTGGCACTGGCTGCACAACCTGCTAGAGTTAGTGCTTCAGCCCTCTGGGGTTTGTCAGGGATGGTACGGATCTGCCCAACCTCACTACCTGTCTCCCTGTTTTCAGCTCTCTCTCTCCAGTCATGGCGTAGGGGCCCATCCAGCTACTTAGTCTGTCCTGGAGTCTTCAGCTCCCTCTTTCTCTGGGCAGGGGGAGGGGGTGATAGCTCAGTCCGCAGGCTCTCCTGGCTGGCTTATGGGCTTTGCGTTTGCTTAGATCTATGTGCCAACCCGGGACACCATCCTGGAATATGATTCAACTCTGCACTTGCAATTGCCGGCACTTGACTGGCAAAGATCCCCTGTTCTGTGTATTGCTGAGGCTTTGTGGGAAGCACTGTATCTGGACTGGAGTGCCAGAGGGGGAGCCTCTGACTCACTGGTCAGATGCACTTTCTGGGTGAAGTAGCACCCCTCCCTGCCTCAGTCTGCCCTGTCTGGGCTTTGCTCACCGTCGGACCAGACCCGTTGAAATGCACCTGGTATCTCAGTTGGAGCTAGGAGATCTCTGGATTTCTGCATCTCTCTCACTGGGTGTTGTGCACTGGAGTTATGTCCATTCGGCCTTTGTTTGTTTGTTTTTTTGAGATGGAGTCTTGCTCTGTCACCCAGACTGGAGTGCAATGGCACAATCTCAGCTCACTTGGATGTTCTTGTTTTTAAGATTAGGTGTCAAATATTTAAAATGTGTTGGTTTTCTTTGGGTCATCTTTCTATTGGTATGTAGGTGGGAGTAGGGGTGATTTTTAGAATAATTATCTTCTTATAGATAGGAAAGGAATGGAAAGAATGGGCCATAAAAATGAATACTTCTGCTTTCTTTTTGTGTAAGTTTGAATTTTTCTTGTAGAAGATTTAAAAAGTACAGATAAGAAAAATAAGAAAATATATATCATTCATAATTATGTTTCTCAGAAGTAAACATTATTAGTATTTTGGGGAATTTTTACTAATAATTGATGGTTAATCTACTCTCTAATAATTGTACAATTCAGAAAGTAGCAGCACTGCAGTTAAGTGTGTAGGAGCTGGAGTTCAGATGGCCTGGGTCTACATCCTGACTTCACCTTGAGTAAGTATCTTGTTTCTTGCTGCCTCATTTTCCCCACCTACAAAGTGAAGGTGATAATAGTAACTCCTCCATAGCTTTGTTGTGAGAATTAAATGAGATAATATACCCAATAAGCCTAGAAAAAATGCCAAGCCCATGGAAGTGTTGATAAATATTAGCTATTACTACAGCTATTATCATGATTGCTCTCTAATTATAAGACTTATATTTTGCATATATTTGTATAATATACCTTTTTCATTTAGCAATATAGTGTATCTATCTTTTATGTCAGTAGATGTTCTACAATATTCTTCTAATGGATACATTGTAGGCCATTATAAGGACTCACTATATCAGTCCATTTTCAAGCTGCTGATAAAGACATACCTGAAACTGGGCAATTTACCAAAGAAAGAGGTTTATTAATGGGCTTACAGTTCCACATAGCTGGGGAAGCCTCACAATCGGGGTGGAAGGTGAAAGTCACATGGAAGCAGACAAGAAAAGAGATCTTTTGCAGGGAAACTACCATTTTTAGAACCATTGGATCTCATGGGACTTATTTACTATCATGAGAACAGCACAGGAAATACTTGCCTCCATCATTCAATTACCTTCCATTGGGTTCCTCCCACAACACATGGGAATTTTGATGAGATCTGGGTGGGGACACAGCCAAACCATATTTCTCCTGTGGCCCTTCCCAAATCTCATACCCTCATATTTCAAAAACCATTCATGCCTTCCAAATAGTCTCCCAAAGTCTTAACTCATTTCAGCATTAACTCAAAAGTCCACAGTCCAAAGTCTCATCCAAGCTAAGTCTAGTCCTTCCACCTATGAGCCTGTAAAATCAAAAGCAAGTTAGTTACTTTCTAGATACAATGGGGGTACAGGCATTGTGTAAATACAGCCATTCTAGTTAGGAGAAATTGGCCAAAACAAAGGGGCTACAGGCCCCATGCAAATCTAAAATCCAATGGGGCAGTCAAATCATAAAGCTCTAAAGTGATCTCCTTTGACTTCTTGTCTCACATCCACATCACACTGATGCAAGAGGTTCCATGATCTAGGGCATCAGCACCCCTGTGGCTTTGCAGGGTACAGCCTTCCTCCTGGCTGCTTTCATGGACTGCCATTGAGTGTCTGTGGCTTTTCCAGGTGCACAGTGCAATCTGTCAGTAAATCTACCATTCAGAGGTCTGAAGGATGGTGGTTCTCTTCTCACAGCTCCACTAGGTGGTGTCTCAGTAGGAACTCTGTGTGGGGGCTCCAACCCCACATTTCCCTTCTGCACTGTTCTAGCAGAGGTTCTCCATGAAAGCCCTAACCCTTCAGCAAGTGTCTGCCTGGACATCCAGGCATTTCCATACATGTTTTGAAATCTAGCAGAGGTTCCCAAAGCCCATTTCTTGACTTCTATATACCCATAGTCTCAACAATATGTGGAAGCTGCCAAGGTTTAAGACTTGCATCCTCTGAAGCCATGGCCTGTGCTCTGTGTTTGCTTCTTTCAGCCACGGCTGCAGCAGCTGGGACACAGGGCACCAAGTCCCTAGACTGCAAACAGCATGGGACCCTGGACTGGCCCAGGAAAGCATTCTTTCCTCTTAGCCCTCTCAGCCTGTGGGAGGGGCTGCCAAGAAGACCTTTGACACGCCCTGGAAACATTTTCCTCATTGTCTTGGGGATTAACATTTGGCTCCTCGTTACTTGTGCAAATTTCTGCTGCTGGCTGGAATTTCTCCTCAGAAAATAGGATTTTCTTTTTTATGGTATTGTTCAGCTGGAAATTTTCTGAACTTTTATGCTCTGCTTCCGTTATAAGATGGAATGCCTTTAATAGCACCCAAGTCACTGCTTGACTGCTTTGCTGCTTAGAAATTTCTTCTGCCAGATACCCTAAATCATCTCTCTCAAGTTCAAATTTCCATAAATCTCTAGGGTAGGGGCAAAATGATGCCAGTCTCTTTGCTAAAACATAACAAGAGTTACCTTTGCCTAGTTTCCAACAAGTTCTTCATCTTCATGTGAGACCACTTCAGGCCAGATTATTGTCTATATGGCTATCAGCATTTTGGACAAAGCCACTCTAGGAAGTTCCAAACTTTCCCACATTTTCCTATCTTCTTTTGAGCCCTTCAGACTGTTCCAATCCCTGCCTGTAACCCAGCTTCAAAGTTACTTCCACATTTTCGGCATATTTTCAGTAGTGCCCTATCTACTGGTACTAATTTACTGTATTAGTCTGTTTTCATGCTGCTGATAAAAGACATGCCGGAGACTGGGCATTTTACAAAAGAAAGAGATTTAATGAACTTACAGCTTCATGTGGCTGGAGAGGCCTCACAATCATGGCAGAAGATGAAAGTCATGTCTCACATGGTGGCAGACAAGAGAAGAGAGATTGTACAGGGAAGCTTCCATTTTGAAAACCATCAGATCTAATGTGACTTATTCATTATCATGAGAAAATCATGGGAAAGACTTACCCCCATGATTCAATTACCTCTCATCAGGTCCCTCCCACAACATGTGGGAATTCAAGATGAGATTTGGGTGGGGACACAGCCAAACCATACCAGTCACCATAGTTTATTTAACTAATCCCTGTATTGGTGGGTTTTTGATTGTTTACAATTGTGTAAATTTATAAACAATGTTTTCTTATAAATAATTTTTAGAATAAAATAGATGGTCCAAAGGTAAGAGCATTTAATCATTTTGGATATTTATATAGAAATTGCCTCTTTCCTCAATACTGGATATTATTAGCTCATTAAAAAACCTTAATAGCTATAAAGTAATATGTCATGTTTACTTTAATTTGCATTTATATTTTTCTCTTTGTGTATGTAGTTTTTCTTCTATCATTTCTGTGTTCAACCTCTGTTCATGTATCTTTTGGAGCATTTATTTGTCTTTTATTTTTTTTGAATGTTTTGCATTTAGAGCGAAAGGAGACTTTTTGCCATATATATTGCAAATATTCCCCCAGTTTATAGTTTGCTTTTAATCTTGTTTTATTGTTTTAATTTTGGTTATGCAGTTGTTTTAAAAGTTTTATGTAGTTACATTTCTCATTATTTTTGTTTAAAATTTCTAGATTTGGAGTCAAGTTTAGAAAGTTTAGAAAGTCTTTATATGTGTTTTCTGGTAACATTTTTAGGGCTTTGTTTTTTGGAATTTAATCTTTTTAGTAATTTTGACCTTTCTTGTGCAGAGTGAGGTAGAGGCCCACATTTCTTCTCTCCCTCCCTCCCTCTCTCTCTCTCTCTCTTTCTCACTCACTCACTCTCTCACTCTGTCTCTCTCTCCCTCCTTCAATTCTTTTCACTGTATTTTCTAAGCTGGTTTTGTGCTTGGCAACTTCATTAAACTCCTTTAAATATTTGAAAATTTTTTTTTTTCAGATTATGCTACTGGGCTTTAAGGTTAAATTTTGAGAATATTTTAACATATGCTATTCACGCACATGATTGTTTATATCACAAATATGGAAAGCATCCACTACCTAAGTGTGAGAATCATGTTCTTTGAAACTCCATGGCAAGAGGATTTGTGGTTAAGAGAGAGAAGATGTTATTTAAAAAATAAAAATGGAGGCCACATTTCAATCTGTGACGGCTCTTTAAATTTTTTTTTTTTGCACTTGTCAAATTAAAACAGATGTTTCTACTCAAAATAATGACAAGACCAATGCCATTTTGTAACTACTTAATATCATTAAGCATAGTGCAAATCATGGTCATTCATGTCCCTTCAAATTTGATGGAAATGCCTTTTCTTCCATTCTCACTGAGATTCAGATATATTTGTTTTTCTGTTTAAACAAAATGAATTCAAGAGGAAAGGAATATTTCCCCACACATATGGATTTAGGTTCTGGGAGGGCCTGAAGCTTATACAATTCCAGGAGTCCTCTTTAAGAATGTAAACTTAAAAATACATATTAGATGATAAGATATGAATGCATATTTAGAATTGGAGCAGAATTAAAAACAAATAATACATTAAGAAAAGCTGGTCTATACTATGAACTTTACAAAATTCCCCAAAATAACAGAACGCTTTCATTAATAAACTACATGACATATTTTGGCTGAATACTTTGCTTGCATTTTGTATGATAATTTTATGATCTAGCTTTCTTTAGACAGGATAAGACACAACAGTCCTTCCCCTTGCATACTTTGTTTAAGGAGAAGTTTGAGGGTGAAAAGGAACACATAACTGGGAGCGCTAGAGGTGGTGTGACAGTACAGATGTGGCCTATGGCGCCTGGCACTGGAAGTATGTGGATAGTAGAAGGGATGTACGAAGGTGACTGTGACCCTATAAATATATCCCATTCATCCCAAACAAAATATATCCTTATTCTACTTTCCCACATCCAGATCCTCAAAATGTAATCAGCAACTCTAACACCATCCTACATAAAAAGAGTGATAAAGGGGGAGTTTAAGACCTGGAATTGTATTGCTGTTAAAAAAATGTTACTTTTTCAAATTTTACAAAAACATGTTGTATTAGTCCACTTTCATGCTGCTATAAAGAACTACCTGAGACTGGGTTTTTATAAAACAAAGAGACTTAATTAACTTACAGTTCCACATGGCTAGGGAGGCCTCAGGAAACTTAAAATTATTGCAGAAGAGGAAGAGGAAGCAAGGCATGTCTTACATGGTCTTTCCAGAGAACAGCATGGGGAAAACTGCTCCCATAATCCAATCACCTCCTACCAGGTCTCTCCCTTGATATGTGGGAATTAAAGTTTGGGATGAGATTTGGGTGGGGACAGAGAGTCAAACCATATCATATGTGATCTTGTGAATTCACTGCCAACCAAGGGCTTTGAAAGTGTCCCATGCAAATGAGGGGTACTGAGGCTTAAGCTTCATCAGCTTCATAGTAAATCTACCTGTGTATCAGATATTCCACCAAAATGTTTAATGTCTTTATTATTTAATGTCTAAGTGTTGCTTAGAAATGACTTCCATCATAGTTCTTGAGATGCT